GTAGTTCCTTTGGCACCACAAAACATTTGCAGTTGCTCTGAACAAGAAAGGATGCAGGGTGGGTGGCAAATTAGACTTCATGGTAAAGATTTGGGTACTTTTACAAATTGAGATTAAGCACTTTTTTAGTATTTTTTTTGTAAATACAAAATGTTTACTACATTAAAACAGATGTGCCATTAAAGAGATAAGATTTGTATCCTTACTGTCTACCTTTTGGGTTGAGTCCAAGTAGTTGGTTGAGTTGAGGTAGGTTTTCCTTTTTGATTATGCTTCTGGTTGCAGCCAGGAGCCTTAAACCTACACTGTTTAACATAGCCTAGAGAAAATTACAGCATTCCAGGAAGTCATTACATTCTAGCTTAGAGACAGTTGATGATGCATGTGTGGACTAGGTTGTAGATTGGATTTTTCATGGAGAAGTTCAAATCTTAAATCTGCTTTTGTGGCTAGTCTTGTTTAAATGAATGTCTGAAATAGTAAAGATTTTTATATGAAACCAGATAATAATTTGAATAAATTAATGTTTATAACCAAGTTTTTATTCTGCTGATATTCATTTTATTTATTTATTTATTTATTTAGAACTTTTGAGCAAAAGTCATTAGCTTTGATATCAATGAAAAAACACATACCTTAATTATTCATTACTTAAACAGCAGTGTTAGTATTTAGGTGGTACAAAGTAATTTGAAACAAATGTTTTGCCTGACCTTAAAAAACAAAATATAGTATGAAGTGACTGCCTTTTGCTAATTATCCAGAGGCTGGAATATTTGTATGCAGTTGTGAGTAATGAATATGCATATTAATACACAAGTAGCAACTGAAAATATTATATTCCAATGCTAATGTATCTTCCTTGCCACAATTGAAGCACAGAGATATACACCATACACATACATTTGCCCTATTACACAATATACCCAGCTGATGTAACTTCTAACAAAAGTTAATGGTGATTGGAGTTCTGTATCATAGAAAAATATTCAGGAGCACCTTAGCTAGAAAGCAAAGCAGGTTTTTTATTTTTGTAATGAATTCTGTTGAAGATTGTCCATAATATTTCAAATTCTGTTAATAATGACTTCTTTACATTTGAAAAAAATAATAAATGCCATTCATTTTTATCAGAAATTTGTGTGGTAGGCCCCCCAAATCTTGATACATTATTTAATTTATGACTTAATTATGATTTAATTAAGGTGAGGTGTTGACATAGTATTCTGGAAGCAAATATTTTAAACAGTATTCAAGTTGTGCTCACTCTTAATTTTAATTTTAATTTTGATGTGTATATATTTGTTGTGTCTTTTGTGTCTAATTAAGTCTACAGTTGTGGGAAAGATATACTTTATTAACAATTCTGTTAGCAATGGTAAGAAGGGGTTATGTGCATATCACACAACAATAGGTGGTCCATGTTGCTGTAACCTGGGTATTGGTATGGGCATTAATACACTCCCCAAAAATATCTGTTACAATTAGGGAAAATAATTGAATCAAAATGTTAAAAATTATCATGTTAACCATTAAATATTTTCAGATTATTTAATGTATATAATGTGCATATTTTTATCTTAGTTGAGATGTGTTTTTTATGACTCTGATATGTTAAGCTATTTAAATACATTTTCTCCATTTACAAAATTATGTATATAGAGAGTAAAAATAAAATAATCAAAATATTATTGTGCTCATCTGGTTTATTTCATCCTTGCCTCAAAATACTAATGTTGGCATTGTAACATGAGAAGATTGATTTGAATCATTTATGTACTAAAGTTATGGGTAGAGATATTGCATAAATTTGATTGCTATATCTTGCTATACAGGGGTGCGAACAGACAACTACCGGCTTCACCATCTCCAAATGTTTTAACAAAATTTCAACTCAAATGTATAATACATATTTGGAAATAAGTATTATTATCATTAGATAACAATATCTTTGCATGAATTTTAGAAAAAGATAGGATAGAATGGGTGGGTCAGACTTGAAATGGAGTACTTTGTTGGTTTTTTTACAATTCTATATCTACGGGCCCCTAAATATCTACAGAACCCTCACATCCTGGACATAAATTGTTTCAACTTCTACCCTCAAAATGATGTCATAGAGCATTGCACACCAGAACAAGTAGGCACAAAGATAATTTTTCCTCCCACATGCCATTATTCTACTAATCAACTAATCCCCACAACACTGTCAAACTATTTACTAAGACTATATTACTATTATTCTTCTCGTCCTTCCTTTTACTTATTTACTCCCACTTATATCTATAACCTTGTTGCTTGTATCATTATGATTTATATTGTTTTATTTAGTTTCCTAGTATGATTTGATTGCTTATTTAGTATCCTATGACTATCACTAAGTGTTTTCTTATGATTCTTGATGAATGTATTTTTATGTACACTGAGCTTATGCACCGAAGACAAATTCCTTGTGAGTCCAATCACACTTGGCCAATAAAGAATTCTATTCTATTCTATTCTATTCTATTCTATTCTATTCTATTCTATTCAGCTTGCCAACCCCTCTGTTGGCCACAAAATGACTGGCAACTGGAGCACTGTTGCAGTTGTCTTCCTTCTATTAGAGCATCTCGTGTGTCATAGAAGCAGATCTTCTAATCTAAAGCATAATATCAGGAATTTGCGTCTGATGAAGTGAGCTGCAGTTCATGAAAAATTACGCCTTTTAATGTATTAATTGGAAAAGGTGCTACAAGACTAGATTTGTCACCAAAGACTTAACCTAGTTTTCTTTTAATGCCTTCATGGGCATACACAATCTACAGCTCCCAGAATTCCCACTTGTTGCTTTTCTGGGAAATTAGTAGGAAAGCTGCTACAATATGTGTTTTTGTCAGTTTCTCTCTGCTTCTTTGTGTGGAGTCAAAGAAAACAAAGAACTTGTGCTTAAATAATATATCTTACAGTTTGGGTTCTGCATCATCCAAGCCTAGAAATGTGGTTGATTTAGTTATGATCCTAATTATGATTCGACTTGTTCTGAAGAGTTAGTTTTCCAAGAAACAGGTTGTCGGATGCCAACTGAAGCTTCTATTGCTTGCTATTTTCCTCTTCTCTGGATTTGTTGGAAGAAATGTCCATCTGGATACAGTTCCAAGTGGGGAGAAAGACACCGGAAACATGGAAGCTGTTTGGAAAGATGGTTTAATGGTGGACAGCAGGACCACATGAATCCAGGTCCTGGGCAAAAAAAGCACATGAGGGAGATTTATACCTTCTGTTGGGCTTTGAACTTGCTTCCTGTTCCTGTGGCAAGAAATGTATCCTGATTGGTTGTCAGACTCCCATGGGGCCATGCTGGGGGAACTTTGTAGGTTGAATCTTGCTGAGTGCTGTAATGAAGGGGCTTTGGGCAATTCTTATTATGGCTTAATGGCTTTGTCCTTGTTTGGATCTGAGCAATCCCATCACCCTGGAGCTGAAGGTCTTTTATGTTGTCTTTTGTCTTTCTGGGGCTATTAACAAAGGTGGAGGCTGCTTTCCAATAGCATGTTTCTCCTTTTCTCATCCAGAGGGGTATAATATTCTGCCTTTTTAATATTTCCTAGAATATTTCATTTTTCTAGGACGGGTAGGGAAACCTGGCTCTTTTATCACTTAAGGACTTCAACTCCCAGAATTCATGAGTGAGCCATAAAAGGTTCCTCATCCCTGACCTACTGGTTTTTCAGTTGGGGGGGGGAAATCAATTTTTGACTTGAATGGGACTGTCCCATTCCCCCAGTTGTGGGGGAAATCAATTTTTGACTTGAATGGGACTGTCCCATTCCCCCAGTTGTGGGGGAAATCAATTTTTGACTTGAATGGGACTGTTCCATTCAAGTCAAAAATTGATTTACCCCACAACTGAAAAACCAGTAGGTCAGGGATGGGGAACCTTTTATGGCTCACTCAGGAATTCTGGGAGTTGAAGTCCATAAGTGATAAAAGAGCCAAGTTTCCCTAGCCCTGTTCTAGGATAAGGGTGGGTTTTAACTTTCTACATTCAATCCCAATCTTATCAGCAAAGGTGTTTTTCTTTTTAAAAATTCATAGGCTAGGAGCCTGACTCCTCCAGCTCTAAAAAGGGATGGATTTGGCTCATGTGGACCAAACCGATCTTTTTTGTTGCCTTTGCTTCAAACTCGTGTCGAAAAGGGTCAGATTCGGTGGGAGCGCTCCGATTCCGCTCACAGCGACGTCGATGGAATCATTCAGCTCCTCTGCAATCTCCTCCCCGCTCACCGCGTTTCTTTAATTTTTTGTAATGCTGTGTGTGGCTCTGCAAGTCCTTTTCTGTCCAGTCTCGTTATGTATTTGCATTTTCACACCATCCTTATTGCAGGATGGGAAAGGGGGATTAGCAGTAGATAGGCGGGGTGGCGGGATGAGGTAGCTGGTCTCCCCAGGCCCGCCGTCTCCCCTTCCCAGAGCCAAAAGTGAGGCTGGCAAAGGGAGCCTCCCTGCACCTGTCTTCCTCTGCGCTCGAGGAGTTCGGGAGTGGGTGGGAATTCCGTTCCAAAGAAAGGAAGGATTGCCGCTGCCTTGAGTGGCGAGAGCGTCCCGCGTGGACGCGGAAGAGTCCGGGTCGGTCATCGGCCCCGAAAGCGAGGCAGGAGTCGCTAAGCAGCTGCCTTCCTCCACGCTTCCCGCCGCTAGCTCAGCCCTTTGCCTGACCTCGGCTCTGACCACCTCTGGCTGAGTGAAAAGGGAGAAGGACGGCTTCGTCCGCGACTCTCCGGGCGCGCGTCGCTTCTCGACTCTCCTGGGGAGCGCCGGTGCCCGGGAAGTTCGCCGCGGTTTGTGTGGCTCAGTCCACCTCTCCCGCCCGATTTTGGACGCCTCGGGCGACAACAACGTTGCTCCGCCGCTCAGCTCTGCTTTTGCTCCGCCGCTGGATTTCCCCCTTGCCATTTAGCTCCTTTTCCTCGGAGCCCTTTCCAGCTTTCCTCAGGGTAGAGACCAGCAACGACCCGAGGATGACCGCCGTCCTGGCATTCCTCGCGGTGGGCGGCTGTTTCCTGGCTCTGGCAGAGGTAAGGAAGCCCCCGGGGCGCCGCGAACTCCTCACCCGAAGAGGGTCTGTGGGGAAGGGATTGCGAGGGAGCGCTGCTGGGTAGCGGGCGAAAGCATTTCCCTTAAGACACCCACGCCCGCCCCCTTGGGGAATGGGTGGCGCGAGCCTGCCGGTGGTCAGGATCGGGGTGCAGTTATGGCCCCCGGTTCAAATGTTGGGGCGCTTGCAGTAGCCCTTCCTTTGAAAAGAGAGCCTTTGTGTCTCTGAATCCCGGAGATGAGCCATTTCTCTCCCCCTACCACCACCCCCAAAGCCCCTCAGAGAAAGAAAAAAATCTTGCTAAACTTTTTCCTGAATCAGTTCTCCAGGTACTGTTATATCTCCACCCAAAGGAAGGAAAAAACAGCAAGTGAACTCCAGCATCGGTTTCATAGCAGATCAGTTCTAAGACAATTAAGGTTGAGGGTTTAATGCCACTGGCCCTGTTTATTGTTTTCCTGAACTTTGGCCATTTATCTGAAACCTCCATGCTTCAACAGCTAGGAGGCCAGCACACTAAGTGCATGTGTTCCTTATAAAGAACAATTTTAAATCCGTGTCAGGTAAAATCGATGCTGTTAGCTACTGACACATGACTTCTCCAAGTTTAAGATCGATTCCCTATAATTTACTTTCCTTCAAGTCCATTAATGGTTGAACTATGATCTTTGGAGCTTCAGTCCCTTCTTATTCCTGTCTGGTGGGGTTTATTCCATTTCCACTCTGCTGCAAATTGCTCCTGTCAGTTCACTTCCCCCATAGCCAAAGCTGTTTCTTTCCAACAGAAGAGTAGCTTTGCTTCTTTGGGGCTGGAAGTGGAGGAATCTCTTCTGTATCACAGGTTGCATTTCATTCTGACCATGTGCTGTTTTTGGCTGTGGCTGATTGTTGGCGCAGGTTGCAGGGGATAGAAGTAATGAAAGTATCTTCAAAGAGAAAGGTGCAGGAAGGGGTTCAAGCAACCACAGAAGAGGCAATGCATGTAGAATAGCCAAAGCAAGGGGGAAGATCTCAAACCGGGCCTGATCTTTATCATGAAACACGATTTTTCTGTGAAACATTACACAGGCTTGTCTGAAACATTGGGGAATGACACTAAGTGTGGTAACATCATCAGCTCAGAATGCGACAAGCTTCAGAAAGACATGTTGGGAAAAACTGAATGAAACATGAAATTACTTTAAAATCTCATATACATTCTTCTGGAATTATACATGTTTGTGAGACAACCTTTTTGTTTACTCCAGCTAACTGATTTCATACAGTTGTTGTGAAGATATAAATTACATGGATTTATTTGCAACAGCTGGTTTGTAAAATGCATGTTTTAATTAAAAAATCTAAACAATAATTGAACACGTGATAGGTACATTTTCTACAATATGAAAATACCTAAAAATACAAAATTGGTAAACAATTTAGCAATGTCAGCAAAGTAGCTGTTATGGAATACATTTTTGTTATGATGGCGAAATCTTTGAGCAACAGTTCTAATTATACTTATTGGGGAGTAGAACTGGATTAAGTAAGAGGCATTTAAGAAATATATTGTTACTATTTTATATACTACATAATAGAAAACAAATGACTGGGAATGAATTCATCTACTAAAACCTGAAAGATTGACTTTGCGGGCAGAAAGAAAAGAAATGTGAACCATATATCACCATATTTTCTTTTCACTCAGATTCATCTTTGTTATGATCACCTTTATCAGCCTTTTTTCTCTTTTCTCCCCCTTCCATTTATCACATATTCACTCTCATCTTTAAATCTTTCTTTTTACTGTCTTCAGATTTTTTTGGGGGGGTCTGGTAGGAACTAGTAAAAAAAAATCTAAAAAATGGGTCTGTTTTCCTGAATAGCAGGGATGAGCTGTGCTTGTGCAAGAGATCATTTTTAAAGAGTTTACATCCTTAGCTTTGAATTAGCTAGAAAACATTAAAGAAGAGAAGGAAGAGGGAAAAATGAAACACGGGTAATAAGAAAGAAAAGCACTTAGCTGGTTGATAAGGCCAAAGACTTCTAGTATGCCCCCGGCATAAGAAAATAGTATTCCTCTGGAATCCTTGCCAACTTTGGTTGGTCAGTGGAAAACACTTCATTTTCCCACATTTTTTCCTCTATTGGATCTTTCTAAAGTTTGTACATTTTTCTAGCACCTACAGCTGCCAAGCAGCTAATGTTGTGGGGGAGCATTCTCCAGTTTGGCTCCTCCCAATTTTATAGCCATATAAAAGACCCAGGGCAGCCCAGCCCCATGTAATCAAGCAGTTGGTGGTTCTGCCAGAGCTAATTGTCCATGGTGCTTCTCCTCCACAGAGCCCAGTCTGGCAGGAGAAAGTGTGTGTGTAGGATGACCCCAGGAAAAAGTTGGTGGTGAGAGAGATGCCTGTGCTGGCAAAACAAACAAAAAGTAAATTCCTTAGTGAAGTGGAAATGCTAAGAAGAGACTTGAGCTGGGAGATTCATATGCATGAGGAATAGCAAAGGTTGCTATTTTTCCTTTGGTAATTGAGAAACAATTTCTGATTTGGTCATTTCTCGGCAGGATGATATGCTTGCTACATTCAGACTGCTACCTATTGTGAAAAGGTACTAATGTTTAATTAGCATGTACCGTCTTCTTGCCTTGGTTGAGCTCTGTATGTACAACAAAAAACTGAGCTGAATGAAGGTACTAAAATCAGAACTTAAAATTGTAGGTATCTATAGAAAGATGAATCAGTGCTGGGTCATTTCCTTTTGAAAACTGCAGATATTTAAGGTAGGTAGATAGCAGCAGTTTTCATTACAGCTTGATTTTGCCAGCACAAGGTCAAAGAGAGTTTTCTTGGCTTAGGGGGATTTCTAGTGCTAGCTGAACTTTTCAACAAGCACTTAGAGATGGGTAAGAGGAAGACCATTTGGAGTGGGTCTCATTGCTAAACATTGCTGCAGGAAATCTGATTCCATTCAACCTCTTTCTTGGGTTAATATTGTAATAATGCTGCTTGTACTGAATGGGCATAATGGCTTAGTTGAATTATTTAATATTAGAAAAATGACACACAAGTAGGGCTTTTCTTTTGCTGCTTGATTTAAATGACTGGTGCTACTGTGAACTGATATGTACTCACCTTTGATAATTCTGCATGAGTTCAAGACAATTAAAGAATGGTGTGCATGGAAAAACAGAGGATATCACCAGAAAAGATGCACACTGAGCATAACAATCAAATAATTAAGTCATTACATTCTAAGAGGTACCACAGCATGTATTACTTTACAGGGTTTTTTTATTTTTCCAATTTTAAAATTAATCAGAGAGCTGAGCCACAAGTTCAATTTCAAGTAGAGATTAAAGTTATAAATACATGCAACAAATTCCATTCTGAGATCTCACCATTCAAGAGGGAGAATCTTGGGTGGCGTCTCCTTCGCTGACGGACCGAAGACCATGATCGTGCATGGCTTCGATCCATGCTCTCCTGTCGGAGGGCTCTTGGGGCCAGAACCACCCTGTAGGGGTGGTGAGGAAGGGGCAGACCATCCACTCTGAAGAAGAAGAGATAATCGTGACAAAGATCATGCTGGAGTGGTGAAGAAGAAGACAGTGAGAAAACTGGGCTAACCAGGCACAACATTTGGATATAAAGGTACCCCGGAATTAAAATCTTAAGAAATTTCTAAGAAAGACAGTAAAAGCGGTGACCAGAGAAAATTGGGGGGGGGGGGGATTGACAGCTGAAAGTGACTTTGAACTTTGAAAGGAGAAAGCCAGAAGAAAATACCTGTTTAAATTGGATAAATACATGATTTTGGCACTAAATAGGCATAATCAAAAGCTGAACTTGAATGTGAAAAAAAAACAACACCAATAACTGATAATTGGATTTGTAGGATTTTTGAAACTTAAAAGCCCTAAATAGAGAAAAGAAAGTGGGGAAAAAAGAGGTGGAATTCAGATATAACAGAGAGTGCTACCTAGTGGTAAAGAAAAATTTTTAGTGACACTTTAAAAAAAAACGCCTGGTTCTTTCAAAAGTGGAATTTGATACAAAATAAGAGAAACTTTTTTTTACAATAAAATAGAAACCCTGAAAAGTGAAAATACAGAACATTAAAATAAAAGAAAGAAATATGAAGAAATTACTCTGGGACTGTTTGGTGATTTTGGCATAAACTGAAATTTATGGATATTGGACTATTTGATGAATTTGGAAAAAACTGAAAGAGGAATTAATAGAAGCTGATCATTGGAAATAAATATCAAAGACGCTGGTTGAATTACATTACTGGACAATTGGTTTGGACTTAAAGATTAAAGAAAGAGATAAAGAAAATATGAAAGAAGTGTTTAAAAATGGCAGAAGTTTTCTTGGAATTAAAAATGGAACTAAGAAACATAAAAGAAATGCTACATGAAAGAGGTGAGTTGTGCTGTCTTGCCTTACAATAATTAGAAATGGTGATTCTGGAGTATGAAGAACAACAAAGAGTGCCAGAAGGGGAGGAGTTTATCAAAGAAGAAGCCAGCTTCCACGAATGATTGGAGCAACGAACATTAAAGCAAAGGGGAAAAAGAATGGGAAATAAAACTTGGAGATTTGAGGAGGCAATAAAAAGGGAAATGTCTTGAAAGCCAAACAAAGTAAAAGGAAACAGCAGAAACGGGAATTACAGAAGAAAACTTTAAAGAGGGAGGGCGATAAAAATTAGAGTAAGAAAAGGAGGGAAAAAATGAAAGAAAAAGGACCAAGAAATAAAGAGATATGGAAATCAAAAATGAAAAGAAATTGTTTAGTTAAGAGACATAGAGATAATGGGTAGATAAGGATTAACAAAGGGGATTCTGCAAGGTAATGTGGTGTAATATAAATGCATTTGAAGTAATAAATTACTTAGAAGGTAGGAAAATATAGATTTTTAAAATGAAAAGATTGGAACTGATATTCTCTTGTTACTAGAATACTTCTTTTTTGTTAAATTATACACAGA